TACACATCCATATATCACACCTGGCACCCACATAAATACTGGCACACCCATATACACGAACATGTACACATGCATACATCACACATGGCACCCACATAAATACATGCACACTCATATACATGTGAACATGTGAGCATGTATACATCACCCCTGACACCCACATAAATACATGCACACTCATACACTCATACACACATGAACATGTACACATGCATATATCACATGCACATACTCAAACAAGATATTTAACAGTCAAAATGGGTGATTGTGAAAGCAGGCGACAGAGAAGCATAACTCAAGTATTTATGTAGAGGAAACGTAGGAGGGAGAGTTGGGGGTGGTGATGTCAGCGTGGGGCAGGTGTTCTTGGATCTTATGATTTGGTTGAGCTATCCAAACTCCTCTGCCAAAGTCACCGTGATGTGTAGACTATGGTAAACACTGAGGAGGAGGAATGTGCATCTTTAATTACTAAAATGTAGCCTGGCTGAGGCTGATAAAGGGGAGAGACATCCCAGGACGGATCATAAATTAATAGACTGGAGTGGACCTGCAGAGGCAGTGACGTCCAAGTGAAGTAGAGGAGACATGGATAGAGAAGGGAGGTCGGGAGAGCAAGCAAACGGTGCCCCGAAGACGGGATGGACTTCAGGAAGACACAATGGCTTGTGAAGCTCGGGGCAGGGACTGTCACTCAGTGGCAGCGCTTGCATGATATCCGGATGCCCTGGATTTCATATGCAGCACTGAGAAAAAAATCGTAGACGTTAGCAGCCAGAAGCCCCTGATTTTGGAAAGTCATTGGGGAAGTAGAGGCAGAAACAGAAGAACATCGGGTGTGAAATAGAGGTGGGCGTGAGGAGTGGTCTAGGGAAGCTTCTCCGTAAGGATGAAGAGTGGCCATTTGTTGGCTGCAGGGAACAGGGGAGGAGAAAAGGAGAAACTGAAGTGCCAGGGAGCATAGCAATGAGGAAGGATGTCTGTGGGATGGAGTCATCCGTGGAGAGCAGACAGGTGAATTCTGAGAAGCACTGGAACAAGGACGACTGTGGGATGGAGTCATCCGTGGAGAGTGGATGGGTTAATCCTGAGAAGTACTGGAACACTGCATATGGAAGAGAGGACTTAGGAGTCAACCGTCTGAACCAAGAGGACATCGTGCCAGAGCGCTTATAGAGCAGGACCAGGACCAAGAGAAGGCTGCACTCTTCTCTGTTGGCAAATACAGAGTCTGGATAAAGCTCTCCTCGTCTGAGCCTCAGAAAGGGGAGAAGGCCAGCTTGGAGTAATGGGAAGTACAATTTACCAGGAAATATAAACAACTTTTTAGAATTTGATCACAATATAAGTTAATAATTATATTGCTAATATAGCATATTAGTAATCATTAATAATAAAGTGGTATTATTAATTTATTGATAATAATTTATTAACTTACTGTTTTCATAATAATTTATTAAAAATTGTTATAGGAACCAGAAGAGAATGTAGAGAAATATTTGGCCCCTTCTGTCTCAGAAACAGAAAGTTATAAAAAGGCCAGAGGACGACACAGAAGAAGTGTGTTGGCAGGTGTGCTCACAGAGAAGGCTCTTTGGGGAACTGAAAGCACGTGGTAGAGTTAAAGTCAGGTGTTTGGAAAACTGGGAGGTTTTTACAGACAAAACCAAAGTAAGAGAAGAAAGAATTTGATAAAGAAGACAAGAGAGGGCTGAAGAGAAGGCTCAGAGGGTAACACCCGAGCCTGATGACCTGAGTTTAACCATCCCACCCGCTGCACCCTAACACACGGTGAAAAGAGAAAACTGACTCTCAACACACACAATAATAATAATAATTTTAAAGTTAAGTACAAGTGTTCAATTGAGACAAAAAAGACAAGCAAGAGAGACAATCTAAGGATTGAAGGTGTTGCCAAAGACTATGAATAATGGTAATGAAAGCAGAAATCAGAGATATAGTAGAAGAAAACATTCCAGAACAGAAAAAGAACCCATCTCCTCATCTGCAAAGAAAGCCAGACCAGGTGGTTGTCAGCAGTGCCGTGGACACAGCAGAGCCATAGTCTTAGAAACTTGGGCCTAGCAACTGTGCTCATCTCACTTCCTGGAGAAGCAAAAAGCCTGGCTTGGAAACTTAATTTGGAAGTTCACTAGAAAGCTGAGGCAAACTTTAGAGCCCAAACGGGATTTTTTTTTCTTTGTTCAATCAAGTGAGGATAGAAACTAAGGCAGTTGTGGTGCACACTTTTAATCCCAGCACTTGGGAGGGAGACAGAGGCAGGTGGATCTCTGTGGGTTCAAGGCCAGCCTGGCCTACAGAGTGAGTTCCAGAACAGCCAGAGCTGTTACACAGAAAAACCCTGTCTGAGAAAAAAAAAAAGCAAAAAACAAAAAAATAAAAAAGAAAGAAAGAAAGAAAGAAAGAAGAAAAGAAACTAGTTTTTAACATCTAGCTAGCAATTATCAAGTATAATTTTGATGATAGTTGTGGATTATGCTGTATGCCTCCTTACCCTAAGGCTGTCAAGAAGTGTGGTTTAAGCCTAGCTGGATGTAGGTGCCTGCAGCCCAGCAGTGCTGCAGGAAGCTAGACAAACAGCCTAGGCAGCAGCGAGAACAGGAGAAGAGTGCAGAGCTGGATTCTGGTGGACAAAACCATTGCCGTGCCAGTACACCTACTGCGTGAGCAGTCTCTGCTCCTACAGAATGACTCAGAGACCCCTGCGCCCTGCCGGGGGAAGCCAGTACAGGCTCCCTGGAAGCTGGAGGAGGTAGCTCTCATGAGCCTCTGAGTGTCTGGAAGTTTGGGTTTGTGGGGGTCTTCTGCTTTGGAAATAGACACATTTTGCAACTACTTTTTCAATTAAATCAATACAATTTCAGCACATCATGAATATTTTTCAGGTATTAGAAACTTATTTTTAGGGGTTAAAATATAACATAGTTGGTAGAGCACTTACCCAGCAACCCAAGTTTGATCCACAGTGTTGCTGAAGCTTGGTATGGTATTGCTTGTCTGGGAGGTAAGAGACAGAAGGGTTAGAAGTCATAGGCTATCCCCAGCTACATAATTAGTTGTAGGCCACTCTGGGCCACATGCATGACGACGCCCTGTCTCAAAAAAACAAAAAACAAAAAAATAAAACAAAACAAAAAAACACAACTAGCTGGTTATTTTTTTCATTTTTCTTTTTATTTATTCTTCTCTTATACAATACATCCCAACCACAGCCTCCCCACTCCATTCCTCTCAGTCCCACACATGCATACCCTCTCCCCCAGACCCCTGGCTCCTCTGTTTCCTTTCAGAGCAGGCCTTCCAGGGACATCATTGGAACACGCTATAACAAGACACGATAAGACCAGGCACAAACTTGCATATCAAGGCTTGACAAGGCCACCCAGTAGGAGGGAAAGAATCCCGAGAGCAGGCAAAAAGAGTCAGAGACACCCCGACTCCTACTGCTAGGAGTCCAGCAGAAACCCCAAGCTAAACAGCCGCAGCATGTATCCAGAGGACCTGGTGCAGACCCAGGCTGGCTGCTCCATGGTTGTCACTTCAGTCTCTGAGCCTCTGTGGGCGCTGCTTAGTTGATTCTATCAGTGTGTTCTCCTGGTGTCCTCCACCCCTCTGGCTCCTACACTCCTCCCCCCCCCCACCTTGAGTTTCCCTGAGCTCCGCCTAATGTTTGGCTGTGGGTGTCTGCATCTGCTCCCACAAGCTGCCAGAGGAAGCCTCTCTGATGGCTGTTGTTCTAGGCACCGATCTATGAATATAGCAGAATATCATTAGGAATCGTTTCATTGACTTTTCTTCTGTTAATCGTATTTGGTTCTACCCTAGGTATTTGAGCCATCCAGCTTCTGGTTCCTGGCCATCCAGGCAGTGTCGGGCATGGGCTCCCTCTCATGGAGTGGGCCTCAAGTTAGACCAGTCACTGTTGGCCACTCCCACAAGCTCTGAGCTACCATTGCTCCAGCACATCTTGCTGGCAGAACAGATGTGGGTCGAAGGTCATTCTCAGCTGCCTAGCAAGTTTGAGGTCAGCCTAGGGTACATGGACTTTGTCTCTAAATAAACAAATCATTTGTGTAAGCCCAATTAAATATGTTGAGTGAAATGTATTTAAGTGATGTATTTAAGTATTTAGTACTGTTTTATGCAATGGCATGATGACCATACACACAGACATTCCAGGAGTGGAAGTGTGGGATGGATGGGGATGGGCAAAGGCAGAGTGTAGAACTATTCTAGTTCCTCACCTGGGTATCAACTCAAGCGTACACGTCCACCCTCTCTTGTAATTATACATATTTAATGTTGGCTTCAAACCCAACTATAAAGTGTATGTTTCTATTAATGCAAATAATATTGATTAAAAGAATGACTTTACCAACAGTAAAAAGAACATTTACCGGTAATATCCTCCTCTTCCTTTTCCTCCTCCTTTTCCTCCTCCTCATCCTTCTTTGTACACTCTCCATTTTGTAGCCCAGTCTCCCTTATGAATCTTTATGTGTGTATATCTGTCATTGGCACATTAACAGATATTGCAGCTCTGAGTTCTCATCCAGTGACTCCCTTGTGCTGTGCTCTTTCTGTGATCTGGTGGCGTGAGGACATGGCAAGTCACCAACAAGGAAGTCAGTTCTCCCAGGTCTAGAGATTGCAGCATGTAATAGATTTGGGGTGGGGTGGGGAGGTGAGACAAGTTCTCACTATGTAGCCCTGGCTGTCCTGGAACTCACTCTGTAGCCCAGGCTGGCCTCTAACTCACAGAGATCCACCTGCCTCTGCCTTTAATCCCTTGTGCTGGCATTAAAGGCATGCACCACCACTGCCAGGCTGTAATTATGTTTGAAGAGAAAATAGAATGCTGTCAGCATCCAGCCTCTGCCAAAAGGTCAGGCTTTCGTTGTTGGGTTGAAACTGCTCTGTACATCTTTCCTTTCCTAAATATTTCTTGTTTTGTTTTGTTTTGTTTTGTTTTAATTTAGGTTTGCGTTTCTTGGTTCGTCTCTGCACAGATATTGGATTAAAAGAAGTTCAAGAATATGCCACAAAGCTCAAGAGGTTGGAAAAAATGAAAGAAATGAGGGAACAGGTATCTCATATGGGCCGAAAACTACTGTCTGTTAATTTTCAAAATGTCAGCCTGCTGTAGCTGAAATGCACGGGGCTAGGAGCTTGCCTCAGAGGAGACCTGGAGTTTTACTCAATGGTAACAAAAACTGAAATTTTCTGGAAAATGAATGGATCTGGAAAGTACAATATTGAATGAGGAAACTCAAACTCAGTAAGACAGAAACCACGTGTTCTCTTTCATATATGCATCCCAACGTGAGTGAGTGTGTGTGTGTGTGTGTGTGTGTGTGTGTGTGTGTGTGTGTGTAAGGATGAGTGAGCATAAGGACACATGAAACATGAAAGAGGAAAGGGGGGCACGAAAGGAGGACCAAGGGTGGCAGGGGGTGGGAGAGCTGATGGGAAGGAGAATCTACTAAAACCCATCCTGTTCAAAATGCTGTGATGATTCTCTACTGTGTATGCCAATTTTCAAAAGGAGAAAAGGAGAAAGATCTTAGAGGCCAATACAGAGCTAACTACTTGGCCTACAATAATCTGAGAATGGTGTGTACATTTGCAGTCACTTGAGCAGACATTCCCATTGAAATCATTGCATGTTTAGTGTTTAAAGGATAGCTGTTCCCCCTAGAAAATAATGCAAAAATGAAAAACAATGTTTGGAGCAGAGTTGAGCAGGGAACGAAGAGGCAGAGTTGAACTGCTTTTTCTGCTCGACTGGACCAGGAACTGTCACTTCAGTCGCAGTCTGGGACTGAATCTGATCTGAGCAGAGCAGCTTCTATGGGAGGAATCCCGGTGGCTTCTATGGAGTCCTTAGTAGAGAGCTACTATACTCATAGATAAATAATTTCGGTGTTCCAGAAGATGAAGTAACAGAGATTAATTTGGAAACTTGATTTTTATTGGTGAGACCTGTGTCCCATGAAAGCCTGTCACTTGCTGTGGCATCAGTACTTTGTTCTGGAGGTGTCCCTGTGTGGCAGAGTGTAGTGCCCAGAATACCATTGTTAACGCATTTCTGCAGCAGATGGAATGGCGGGGTTCCCACCTCCACTTCTTCTCCTACATTTGAGTCTAGAACACTTAGGTTGTGTGTGAGTTTTGAATAGTTGCCTTTTACCAAGAACAAATATGGTCTTCAAGCTAATACTGATATATTAAAATTAAAATTCTCTTTTTGTTTGTTTGAGCTCACTATGTAGCCCTGACTGTCCTGGAACTCAATTTGTGGACCAGGCTGGCCTTGAACTCACAGAGATCCTCCTGCCTCTGCCTTCCTAGTGCTGGGATTAAAGGTGTGCGCTAGTACATCCAGCTAGAAATAAAATCCTGGGTTTTTTTTTTTTTTTTAAGATTTATTCATGTATCGTGTGTGGGTGATTTGTCCACTTCTATGTCTGTACACTAGAAGAGTTCATTGGATCCCATGGTACTATAGTTACAGACAGCTGTGAGCTGCCATGTGAGTGCTGGGAATTGAACCTGGGTCCTCTGGAAGAGCAGCCACTGCTCTTAACCATTGAGCCATCTCTCCAGCCCTAGAAATAAAATTCTAAGTGAGGAATAATGTAGTAGCAAATGATGTTTATGCAATTATCCTGCCTGCAGAGAGGTTCTAATTCTCACATGCTGCAGAATGTGGCTGGCTGTCTTCGCTTCTTAGATGTGATCTAATCTCTTGTAAAAATATTATGAGCAAACTAGTTTTGCTTTAAAAGTCCTGTAAAACATCAAGTTGATATTTATTTGCCAAGCTAGGCTGCACCATAAAGTGTGCTGTAATGGCCAATCTATGCACTGTACCAAACACTAATAAAATTAGATAACTGCATGATAGCTTGTGACACATGAACTGCTGTAAGTAGAAGTTCAAATGATTATGGTTGTAATTATGTATTTAAAAAGAATCTAAGTATGCATTTAGATGAAGCACATTGGAATTGAATTCATTGCTGGGGCCCCTCATACAGGTATACTAAACAAGTGTGTGCCTCAGTTCCGAGTTTATAGTTTGCAGTGAGTCCAAGTTTCTACAGTCAATTCTGCAGCCTCTGGCTCTGGGGCCTGGCTTCCTAGACTTCTAAGAAGAGTAGCCTCTTGGCTTCTTACAACTTGCGGGTAATTCATAAGCAACTTTTGTTTTGTTTTGGAGACAGGGTCTCACTATGTAACCCATGGTTATAGGTTCCATGGAACTCTCTGTGCAGCTCAAGTTAGCCTCAAGCTGATGGCAGTCCTTTTCCCCCGGCCTGCTGGAGTTATAGGTATAATTCCAAGCATAAGCTTTAGGAAACATTGATTACAAAGAATTCCTGGGCAATGTAATTTAGGAATTAAGTATACTTAGAATTACTTTTCTCACAATATTTTCAGTTTGCCGCTAACTTATTCCCGTCTTAACTCTGAACTGGGTTGAATCAGTGTAGTTGCCGTTCACTCTTCATTTCTCTGAGAATCACGTTGCCTCTGCTCCCTGCACCTTGTATCTTCTCTTTCTCTGCCCCCCTCGGCCCTTGTATCTTCTCTTGCCCTCTTTGCCTTCTTACAGTCTCAACAATAATGGGACCCTTCTTAAAATCTGGCTGGCGTCTTTGGACTAACAGTCACAAGGACTAAAGAACTTCACTAAATTTAAATGACTGGAGTAACGTCACTGAAACTGCGCTGCCTTTTCAATCCTCTGCGTCAGAATATTTGTATGTTTATTAAGTAGCTTTTACTTGTTTCTTGCACAGGCTTCTTCGTGCTATTTCATACTCATTGTACTTTGACAAAATAAAGCTACCTTTTTACGGTGAAAATGAATGGTTTCTTCTGAGGATGGATCTTGAAGGGGATTAGACTAGTATTTGACTTGTTGTCCTTGGAAGGATGCACCTGATCATGTAAACTGTACATCAGGAAGAATACTTAAACATCAGAGGAACAAACCATTTGTCAGGAGCCCTAAGGGATTAGAGAAATCTTTTAAACAAATAATCCATTTTTTATCTGCAGTTAATTCTTATTCCTGGGTGGCTCACTCAGACTCTCCCATGTTTTTCTCACTCATCACCCACATCAACAGCTCCATGCCCTTTCAGGGCCTCTTCAGATACTTCATCACTGGCCTCAGTGTCACCTGTGAAGCCCACTGTCACTTAGACATCTTCTGTCATTACAGCTTTGCCTGTAGTTCATACTCTGCCATTGACACGCCTCGGTCTCTTTATAGCTCAAGTCTTTATATCCACATCCATGAAGTGTCAAAAGAACACTTCACACCTTCAGGTTCCTCAGAACCTTCGGCTGTCACACACTCTGTGCTCCCTGGCTGGTTTTCTTTCCTCCCCTCCACCCATGATGCTGTTTGCATAAGAGCATCCTTTTTTGGCCCCTGCCTTTAATCCCAGCACTCAGGAGGCAGGTAGATCTCTGTGAGTTCCGGGCCAGCCTGGTCTACAGAACAAGTTCCAGGACATCCAGGGCTACACAGAGAAACTCTGTCTTGAAAACACCAAAAACAAACAAACATTGTTTTCTTTGTTCTTCAGTATTTCTCTTGGCATCAAACATCAAAGAAACATTTTCCGGTGTTCTCACCTAAGTTTGGCTGATCAACATGGAGTGGAGAGGATCAGTGTCAGGGAGAGGTTGTAGGAGTAAAGGCCAAAAGCTTCTCCTAATTGTTGGGGGCCCCACTTCAGTTGGTTGTTCTTAGACTGTAAGCCTATGGGGCAGGTCTCTGTCTCCTGGCTTCTGTAAGGAAAAAGGCATTATTAGTTATGGAAGAAAATATGATAAACTTCTGAATTAAGGATGTTCCTTTCTAATGTTGAATTTGAAGCTTGTTATCTCTGCATTTCTTGTTTAGAATCAATCCTTAGGGGGTTTTCCTATGTAATTTAAATTTCTTCAGAGACATCATTGTTAACACTTATATAGATGTATTTTGATTTATTGAAACATTTCCACATTGCTACATACTCAAATGTCTTTTTTTTTTAAATGTTCATTGGTGTTTTACCTGCATGTATGTCTGTGTGAGGGTGTCAGAAACCCTGGAACTGGAGTTACAGACAGTTGTGAGCTGCAATGTGGATGCTGGGAATTGAACCTGGGACCTCTGTAAGAGCAGCCAGTGCTCTTAACCACTGAGCCATCTCTCCAGCCCTCAAATGTCTTTTTAATACTGACAATTTTCTATGACCAGTCAGATTTTCAGGGTTTTGTTTGCTTATTTGTTTGTTTGTTTGTTGTTGTTGTTTTGTTTTGTTTTTTTGCTATAGTTCTTGGCCTCTATAATTTTATTTGTGAGCTCTTCCTGCAAGAGAAGTTGACCAGAGACATTCTGTGCAATGGCCATGTGATTGAAATCAAGACTACTTTGATCACACCTACCTTTTACCTGGACCTGCTGGAGAATCCAGAACTAACTAACCCTGTGCTCAGAAAGGGAAGGAGGAAGGAGGGGTCATTCATCTTCCTTCTGTAACGCAGGGGTGGTAACAGTAAGGAGAGCCAAAGCAAAGAGCTTGCATGACCTGCTCTTGAGTGACCCTAGCCGTCTTCTCCATGTTTCTCGTAGCAGCTTTCCCTTTAATTAACTTTGGTACATCGACTTCCCTAGACATTAATTATACCCATGGGGACTGGGGGTGTAGCTCAGAGATGAAGTGCCTGCTGAGTGTGGGGCAGCCTGCGTTCCATCCCCAGCACTGCAGAGGGGAAAAAAACCAGCTTATATTTATCAAATGTATTCTGGAGGCAGACACTGTCTGAGCACTCGACCTGTGTTGACCATTCATCCGATCTCACTGATCTTGTAATGCTGGAGAAGGGTCACCATTGACATTTCGTGGCTGAGAAAGCATAGACCCACAGCGGTTACAGAACTTGTTCCAGGTCATGTGCTTCTCCTCTCCTCTCTTCTCCTCTCCCCCCTGTACTAAGTGGGATTGGCTTTTTTTTTTTTTTTTTCAAAATAAGAGTGCTGTCTTTTTTTCCTATTTCAAACAATAAATAATCTTTTAAAAA